ACACACACACACACACACACACACACACACACACACACACACACACACTGGGTTATGGGTTGTATTTGTACTTCTGCTTCCCATGCTGGGGGCAATATTAGCTTATTGCTAAAAAGTGAACAATGCTGCAGTGCCTTAAACTTGCATTCTTTCTACTGGCCATCAGGGGGCGACTCCTCTTGTTGCAAAAAGAAGTCCGATTCTATAGAAGTCCATGAGAAAATGACCCTACTTCTCACTTGATTTATTACCTTGGTAAACATGAGGGAATTCAGCCGATCGGCCTTGTACGGCCATGTTTTTGCAGGTCACACATGCGCCGCATGATAGTTTATGTGGGCACACAGCGGCACAGACGGAAACGTCCCAACCACACAGTCAAAACAAATCGCAAGAGTAACGTCAGGCAAAAATGTACGCCATGTTTGATTCACACTGCACCCCTGAGAAGGTGTGTGTGTGTGTGTGTGTTCCTCACCAGCACTCTGCCTGGGTAGTCCACTGACAGCGTGTACGTGCTGCCATAGACATTAACAGTCACCACTTTAGCGTATGACACTCTTTTGTTGCCACGGTTGTTATTCTCCAGGGTGACCTGCAATTCACCGAAAGAGGAGTAGAGAGGACAGATAGGAGGGAAACGAAACAAATCCAATGGAGGAATTAGTTAGGATATATGATGCAAATCTTTGTTCTTTTGACCTCAATGTACAAGACAGGAGTCTTTTTTTCCCTCAGATCTTTAACGAAAGTAAAAGCAGAAATATCCCCATTTAAAAATACTCCGTTACAAGGAAAATTCCTACATGTAAAATATCACTAAAAAGTACAAAAGCATCATCATCAAAATGTACTTAAAAGTGTGTCAGTGACATGCCAATTATCGAAGAATCGGTAATCTCTTTTAAATCACTTTATAAAACACATTTTTATAGACTGGCTTGTATGTGGTGTCGTCGCTTTTCTGTTTTATTTTTATTTATTGATTTTACTAAATTATTTTACTAAATTATTATTATTATTATTTATTGTATTTATTTCTCAGTTGATTTTTATCGTATCGACTGTCTCACTGAGCTTTCTGTTATTGTTATTATTGCCTTGCTTTTGCTGCTTTGTCTGTCAAAGTGCTATATCAATAAATTATTATTATTATTATTATTTTCCCAAACCAAACTCCTGTTTCCATGTTGATTTCAATTTGCACAATCTGTTGTGTAAATGTAAAGAAGCGGCCCAGTGGACGTGTGGTGGAGAACTTCATGGTGCACTGTACTGTTTGGTGCTCAGCTCACCTCAAAGTGCGTCAGACCCGTGGTGCCTGCACGCACACTGGCCAGCCTGTAGACACAGTTGCCCTGGAAGTCGAACTTGCGTCCATCGAAGGAGAGGAAGTGCGGATCTCCGCGTGCGCTGCAAGACTTAAAGCCGACTGGGTAGCAGTCTTGCACCCCGTCCACGACGCTGCACTTCTCTCCGGTTCGACAGCCGGCCTTCTCGCATTTCACCTTTTGTGTCGCTGCATCACACACACATTTCTCGCTACACAGCGAGTCGGCCCAGAAGTTGACACCTGGTTGGTAGTAATGGCCCTCGTGGCTACAGCCGCAGCCCGTCTCCCTGATAACACACCTGAGAGAAGCAAAGACACCCGGAACAAAAGGATGTCAATCAGAGTGCAGGGACGAGGTCTGACTGTACGGAAGACATTAGTCAGGAACGGGGGGACATTATACTTACTTTTCACCACTCTGCACAAATCCCTTGTCACAGAAACAGCCTTCCACACAGATCTTAGGGCAAACCTCCGGCTGAGCACCACAGTTGGGGGGACACGCTGAGCCGCACATGCTGTAGTGGCTGTGGGCTGGACAGTCAAGAGCTGGAGGCACAACAACAAGAGCGGGGAAGAGTTTAGGAGATGGACGGACAGAGAGAAGGAGCGCGGGCTATCCACACACGGTGACCTCTCGAGCCGAAGCACATTCAAAACACCATTTGAAAACTATTCTATCCAAGTTTTGACCTTTTAAATTGTAGATTTATGCACATTTATTTATGCCATGCATTAATCCAGAATTATATTCATTTCTAAATATCTCACCACCAAACCATTGGAAACCAATGGACAGGATGGACGGATGCAGAATCAGCTTGGATCCACTTGGGTATCAGTCATATTGGTATACAGACCAGAGACCTGCAGCTATACAATGGGACCCTTAATATAACACTTTTATTAGACTAAATATAATTTGGACCCACCTTGACTTTTGTCCCGGGGCAACTGAAAGCACCTGTGAAGACCTCTAGTCAATATATATATATATATATATATATATATATATATATATATATATATAGCCAGCGTTCAGTTTAAATTTAGAACATTGAGGTGAGTGACTTCACGTCTGTCTGTCGTGTTTCCGTCTACATAAATGTTCTGTGTGTGTATTGTGTAAACTCACAGCAGTTGCCCAGTTGTCTCCATGACGACACAGACACTCCCGCCTCCTGGCACTCTGCCATGTAGTTGCCCAGGGCCTCACACAGTACTACTTCCCGTCCGTCATTGATGCAGACGTCATACAAACAGTCTGACGCCGCCTCTGCTATGGGCACCTTACCATGGCACCCAGAGAAAGGCCCCTTCTTGTCGCTCATGATCCCACAGTATTCTGGACCAGTGTACCTGAGGAGGAGCAAAGGGGTTTATCGTCAGCTCACTCATATTAAGTACATATGATAATTAGTGCATTTACTCAAGTTCTGTACTTAAGTACAATTTTGAGGTACATGTACTTGAGAATTTCCATGTTAATGCTACTGTAATCTTCTACTCCACTACATCAATTATCCGTCTCTTGTACTACTGTCAGGATATAGTGACAGTTAAAAAAAGATGTTTTGATAAAGTTACCAACTGTAGCTTTAATGTATCACTTATGAACATTCTGCATAATGACTTACTTTTGTTACTTAAAGTATATTTTGATGCTAAAACGTATGTACTTTTACTTCAGTATTATTTGGAATGCAGGACTTTGACTGTGCTTTGGGTTTAGTGCTAATTATCAGATTCACAGTAAAAAGCAACTAGACCTTCTTTACAATCCAAAAGACCTGGAAATCTCGCTTTCAACAAAATGAGACCTTTAAGTTACTGTAAAAGTCAATGTTATAACATTACTTGATGCGGTCGCTGTCCGAGCACTGAGGACACTCGTCCTCGCAGTAATGGTAACAGAATGGGTCGTAGTCTTCGACGCTCCATGTCCCTGCCCACTGTGTCACGTTAACAGCTAGGCTGCCATCGACGGTTGTCAGCTCATCCTCCTTGTCGCCGTTGTAGTTGCCACAGAGCCCACCGACATTACCATAGTAGCTGCTAGTGAGGGACACCATGATAAGTGTGGACCAATCAAAAGTAATTTCGACGCCAATATTACTCCGGAGTGTGCCTCTAATTCCAGATTGTGTTATGGAGATGACGCCTTCATCAAGAATGACAGGAAGCTCCATCTTTATGCCGTCCACCTGGAGAGAGAGGGGGAGACACGGTGGTGATGAAATCAAATGTTTATTGTATGATGATGATTTAGCGCTGCTGCCCCCTACTAAAGGACTTTGGGCATGTTCGAAATATTCTGCCATCCTTAAAAATAAATGTCAATAAAACTAAAGTATTTAATTAATTGAAATATCATCAACAGCAAATTGGGAATTAGTTGCGAAAGAACTAAAAGAAAAGGTGAAAGGGGCATTTTACGCCTCAAAAAGCTGGCTTAAAATATACTCAAGGCAGTTATTAAACCAAACGTATATAAGGTGGTGAAATATGGTATCCCATCAGACAGGACATTTTTTAATTTGGAAAAAACATCCGGTTGAAACTTTACATATGAATTGTCTGCAAAATGATTTGTCCGCGCACAGACGGGCCACGGCAAGATAAAGCGTGCCTTGGGCTGCATTCATTTAAAATCCGGCACCTTCCCGCAGGTTTGTGAGTCAATATGGATGTGTTTACTTCCTCATCAGAAAATAAAGTTTTTATCTAGCTCGCTCAACTACCTTTAACACTCTATCTCTCGATCTCCCTCACTCGTTCAGCTGGAGAGGAGGGGCGAATTCTGAATGCTGTGTTAACAAACAGCCACCTACATATTTTACTTTCAAAACATGCAACCCTTGTTCATCTCGAACTCACTAGCTGTCAACCCAACGTCACGCCTAATGTGAGTTGTTGTATTCCCCAACGATCCCAAGAAAGTGTATTTTAGGAAGTACAATGTCATCATTACTTACTGCAATGATGGCTGGCACAACCAAAATAGGTTTCAAAAACATTTAATATGACAAATAATACAATAATATAATTGTGTCAATGAAAAAGATTGAATCCGATTGATTTCCAGTGTAACTAAGAATTGTGCATGAAAGGTTGGTGGTGTTGACACAGCCCATGTATTGAAGTAAGACCCACCAATATGAAGCCTCTGTCGGTGTTTGGGAGGGTTATCTGGTGGCCCAACATCTCCACGAGGGCTGAACGCACAAAGGAGCCTTCAGAGTTCCCACGGAGCTCATTCTTGGTGGTCACAGTTACTTCTGGCAGGGAGGAGTCAAGACCTGAGGAAGTCAGAATAATTCATGTTAACGCTAGCAAGACAGCGTGTCAACTTTATAACAACTGCTTAATGTGACATGCAGTCTTTTAGTTCACAAATGTTGGCTGGTTGATTGGAAATATTCATTACGCAACACTACATCAGCATCCCTTCGATCTTGACATAAAAAAACTGCTACCATAACAGATAAATTTGCATTTCTGTAACAGGCAATCAAATGGTGCTCGTTTCCAGCGAATGCGTCATATAAATCTCTGCTATAACAAATAACGGTCGCTGAAACTATACTTCTAACATTGGGTTTTCTTTGACCAATCTAAAAAAATCAAGAATTTTTCAACAAAAAGTATAAAAGTTAATTATTCATATGTGTTTGTGTGTGTGTAGTAGCCCATTCAAGGCAACACAATGGGGCAATAGTAAAATCAAGCAATGATAAATGTTAATTCTGTCGTTAATGTAATTTGAATGCAAATTGAATGTGAAATTACGCATAGCTGGTGCACTGGGCTGCAGTTAGGGGTGTCACTTTATACGTGTATTGACGATAACCGGGACATTTAAAGCTACTATAGGCAACTTTCTTTTTGTGTTGATTTTGGCGGTCCCTGTGGACAAAAGGGGTAGTGTCTCAGAGCGCCAGAGTCCCTTTAAAAAACCTCTCATTTCTCAGTGGATCCAAGAGGTGACGTCAACGTCGAAGCTAAAAAGGATCAAGTGTGTGACCTGGTCTCTGTTTGTTTGTAATAACGAGGCCCTTTCATTTCCTTTAAATTAATAAGTTGCAAATGACGTACATACTGTATGTACTGAGGTTCTGCAATACAATGTATTGAGATATGTCTGGCAACTCCCTCCTCGCAAGACGCGCTGCATTATTTTGAACACAGAGTTGTATTTCATTGTTACTTAAGAAAACTATTGTGCTGCGTGAACCCCGAGCAGAGCAAAGAAATAGATATCTCCGTGTTAAGGTAACTGCGAACCTGTGGTGTTGACGAGGACGTAGGTGCAGGTTCCCTGGAACGAGTAGTTGACGTCGTCAAACGTTTTGTAGTGCGGGTCGCCGAAACTCCAGCATAAGGCCTTGGAATCAGGTACACACACTCCTTGATCATCTGACACCTCACAGTGCTCCTTCACCCTGCAATGAACTTCCGCACAAGGGTCTGGAACACATACAGTATCAGCATTAATTAATCAATTATTATTATGAGTCTAAAAATGTATAACTCAAGTTGAGAGAAATATTGGTTATACATTTGAACATACATGGGTGAACAAAGCAAAAAGGTCTTGGCTCCTCCAGAGACAAAAACGTTTTTGTCTCTGGAGAATCTAAAAGCTTGCACCGTTATCTCCATTTGAATGACTCATCAAATGTTGTCCTTCTCAAAGACAGCAGGCTTTTCACGCTGCTTTTGTTCCAATTGAAATATGTGAGGATCGCACTACTTCCCACAGTGGCATTGAACATTCCCATGGAACATAAATGACTAAAGCAGAACAGTTGCAAATGGAAGTAGGTGGCTGGGTTGGTCGTGGATTTTTATCTTAAAGAGTAACTTAAATTGACAGTTCGCCCCAGAATCAAAACTACATATTTTTCCTCTTACCTGTAGTGCTATTTATCAATCTAGATTGTTTTGGTGTGAGTTGACTAGTTTTGGAGAAATCAGCCGTAGAGATGTCTGCTTTCTCTCCGGTGGACTGGGGCGACGTCGCACTCGTCTTGTGGTGTTCAAAGCACCCAAAAAGTGCAATGGAAAAAACCAACAGCAATGTCTCTTTCCAGAAATAATGACCGTGAGTAACCTGGTCATGATTTCTGGAAAGATCATTTTTCTTGGCTTGTGGTGAGCATTACAAGCAAAGAGAATGAATCCATTATATTGGAGAGGGGGCAGACATCTCTTCTGCAGTTAACTCCAACACTCTGCAACTCACACCAAAACAACCTAGATTGATGCATAGCGCTACACTTAGAGGAAAGACACAGATTTCAGATTTTTCATCTATTTTTTTTGTCAGAGCATTTATTAAATATTGATTGCTGTCGGAAAAAATTGTTTTTCAAGACGACTGCCAACCCCAGCTTTAAAAGATCACAGTCACTCTGCAAGTATTTCACCTGTAGAGTAGCAGCCAATGGTTCCATCCTTGTTGCGACACTCCTCGGTCGACTTGCAGCTTGTGTTGCTGCAGCTGAATTGTCCAGACTGGCAGGTACAGCGCTCTGAACAGTCCTCCGATAATGTTGATGTATCCGTCTGAAAAGAGTCACTTATGCGTTAGATAGAATAAATGGCCACTGGTATGCTTAACATAGAAGATCTTATTCGGATAAACATGCATATCAACAATCATATTAACTCGGGATCATTGGACCTTGTTTTTCTGTCGTAGCTTTACTTGCTTTCATAACGCAGTACCTACCCTGTTCACCTCACCTCATGTCACTGACACACGGTAATAATGGTGAGCTGTGGAGAACATTTCATTTGAAATATTCATTTTAATCACCCAAATATTTGAAACACACCCAGCTATGTGGTGGAATCACTGAATTCAGGAGCACTGTTGGCCAGGACTAACAACAGACTAGATATTAGTAAGCTACTATATTGTGCTGAATAAGCGTTATGATGAAGAAGCTGACGTGGACAACGGTGATTACCCCATAATATTGTCCATCCACCACGCAGCCACATTTCTCTACTGAAACACAGCGGACTCCATCGGATATGAGGTCGTCGTCACACTCGCAGCCCTCCTGGCACACTGGGCAGGGCCCGGACTCCTCCAGAGAGGAGCAGGTGGAGGAGCAGGAAGAGGCGCAGAGCTCATAGTGACTTCCTGCTGGACACTTCAGAGCTGCAAGAAGAAGAAAAAAACAAGGTCCGGAGGCTCAGTATTGAGGAGGTTTGTTAGGATTTCTGTTGCCTAAAATTCATAAATTGTAGCAGAGTTCCGTTTTTTAATAATCCGCAAATTCAAGGTTGTAATTTGGCACATTTAGTCATGTGCCATTGTATTAGTAGATTTGATAAGTATTAGATTAGCAGATGAAATGCGTCACAGGCTGCAGCAAGCCAGCCTCCCACATTTTCCGGTGCTTTCAACGCCATCCAGCCCTGCCCCTTCTAATGGGGTTCTCGCGATTTAACTGCACCCTGACACTGCTTACTGGACCACGGACTACCTCACTGGCTGGTCACAGTGTGTCGAGTGCATGGCTGTGCCTCCAAGGTGGTGATAAGCAACATCGGAGCACCTCAAGGAACTGTACTGGCCCCTCTCCTCTTCACAATCTACACTTCAGACTTCCACTTTAAAAATAAACTAGTAGTACTCCTTAAACGAGGGTTTATGTATTAAAGACACTGAGAGTGACAAGAAGAAGACAGAAAACACAACATTTAAAAAAAAAGACAAGATAACAAATTAACAAAAGAAAACACATTTCACAAAGTATTTCATCCAATGTTGTTGTACTTTGCATCTCATGTCCACTGTGCAATGCAGCATGGGAGAATAAACACATGCAAACAATAAGATAAGTCACATTTAGGAACAGCGAGCATCAGCCAATCAGATCAGACTTACGGCAGAGAGTGTCGCTTCTCCATTTGCTTATCTTGGAGCCAGCAAGTTGACAAGCTGTAACATAATTGTGGATGTGACGACACAGGATGTCCGCGCCCGCTTTGTCTGTGGACATCTCCCTGGAAACAAACTTTCATTTAATTACAGGAAACACCAGAAACGGTCGTATCACAGAAACTCCTTTTTTTTTGGTGATAATTCTGATTTTGGATCTCATTTTTGCAGTTTTGTCTCCCATTTCTATCATAATAATAACCCTAACCGCTACGATTCTCGGAGGGGTCAAGAAACAAAGGTCAAAAGTCATATGATCAGACAGCAAATAGCTTATCCAGAATAACAAAACCACTTTGATAGCAGGTAAACGTGAAAGTCAGTGCGCCTGCAATGTTGTTAATAATCCCATATAGGAAAACAGTGTGGTACAGAAATGTATGGAATTGTTTAGGATTCAATAATTCTCGGTGGCCTGGCCCGCTGATTGGCCCAGAGTGTCAGGCCGGTGTTCATAATGCAATATGAAATGTGCAAATATAAGCAAAAACAATACGGGGGACGCTACAGTGATTACTGGTTTTTACGTTCCTGCAGTGAAAAAGGGCTAAAGGAGTGTTTAGAGTCTGGGAACTAGAGACAAAGACATCATGCTGAGTCACAGTAACGTCAAGCTGGAAACACAGTTGAGGCTTTTACACATCGGGGGCGAGGCAAAGAAACAACACAAAAATGCAAAATACTCTCCTGCAAATACTTTGCATTAAAACTATTCATACCAGCAGCGATGCAAATTCATTTCATTTCTTGCAGGCAAAGGACCAACTACCAGGGTCAGAGTAGCGTCTCGCAGTCTGTCTGAGCTAAATTGTTGTATAACCGGAGCTACTGAAAGCTATTCTATTGAGTTTTCTTTTAGCGAAAAGCTCGGAGGGAATTTTAGTTCCCCCTGGGAAACAGCTGTATATGTTGAGGGCTTTTATTGTGAAAGGTATAGAAGGAGCTGGTCTGCGTTGCCTTTGTCAAGGTTGATAGGAGATATAAAGTTTACCGTCTTGGTTCGGACTACGGAGCCTCTGTGTACACTATAGTGTGTGTTTTGGATGTGTCAGTACCACACAACGTGATTGGTTGATGCCTTTATTTGCAGTGGGAAAGCTCAGAATAAAACCTTGCACTGGAAAAAGATGGCCGCTTTTTCGCCGCGTAATATTTGTGTCCTGTGTGAAAAAACTAAAACTAAAACTTATAGTGAAGGGAATTAATCGCATGAAAAAAATGCCCCTGGTGTGCAATGCCCTTTAATGTGTACAATGCAACACTTAGAGACATTCGAGATATTTCCTTGCCTGACACAAGCATTGTAGTCCGGAGTTGGCATCACTGTTGAGTGGCAACCTGCAAATGGGCCCTCCTGGGCTTTGATGATGTCACAGGCCTTTTCAGCGTCTGGGTCCTTCTGTTTATCTGTCCCAGGGCAGGAACTGGCACCACAGCCCGTGTCACAAGAAACGTCGTCCTCCGTTACGACCCAGGCTGCTGATGTGTCTGTTGAATCCTTGCCTCGTGTTGATGTCAGGTCGTCATCTGGACTACCGTTATAGTCGCCGCAGAGACCACGTGGCTGGTCGCTATAGGTGGACGGGATTTGTAGGACCACTCCCGCAACACTGTCGTAGGTCAGCTTCAGATCAAAGTCAGTTGTAATGATGATGTTGATGCCATTTTGATGCACTCGCACTTTTCCGTCAGCCAGTGACACAGGAAGGTAGACTCTGATTTCATCGGCCTGAGACATAAATGGGTACAAATTATTTCATCACATTAGCTCTGTCCCACCTCAGGAGCTGCTGCATCGTTACAAAGATCTACATTTCAACCAAATGGACTAAAAAATGAATAAGACGTAGCTATTTCTCCATGAAGGCCAGAACATTATGTTCACAAAGTTACCAGATGAGGTTTAATGTTATCAGATAAATGTAGTACCATGGCATATGGCTGAACAGTGTGTTCTAATACTGGTCAGTCATACCTTGATTTCCCAAACAACCCCGGTCTCCATAGTGATTTCCACGTCGTAAACCTTGAGCTGCACACTGCGAGAGACTTGGCCATCCTTACTGGTTTGCTGCTGTACATACACAGAGAATTCTTCCATCACTCCTTCCTGCTCTTGCACGTCTGCCAATATGAACAGACAGTCTCCCCACAGAGGATAATCCTAGAGGATGAAACAGAAGATATTCAAGGTTATGTCAGAACTTGCACAGTGATTGTCGACGCGAGAGGAGCGGTGAGAGTGAATCAGAAAGGTAAAGTTTAGGGTCAGACAGCGAAACAGTGAGCTGAAAGTCAGTAGAATGGAGAGAGGTCAACAGGAAGTTCAAAACCCACATGTCAAGGAACTCTTCCTATTACTAAACATATGTTAGCTGGGCATAACATATCAGTTAAGCTACATGTTGCTTCAAAACTTTTCTTCTTTAAGTCGTTGAAGTACAATTGGATATGTCTCTGTGTCTTTCTGCTCAACAGGAAAGGTTGGGGCATAAAACCTTGTGGGGCCAAGATTGACCCCAAGTCGGACCTGACTCTGACCAGACACATGGTAAATTGAGAGTTCAACCATTAAGTGACCTATAGGTTCCTGAGAGCAGTCTCTGGACATAGTTTATTAGTTCAGATTGTGTTATTGACATTTCCGTTTTATAATGCATTTTATGTGGATGTTCGCGACACCTTTCACATTGGTATTTGATACATTGTTGTAAAAACATTGACATACGTACGCCTCCAGTTATGGGGGTTGCCACTTGGTTGAAATCTAATACTCTAATAACGCAACGTATCCTCGTACGACAATTCAAAAGTTATTTTTCGTTCTTCGTGCGTACGAATGTCCAGCAACACGAGCAATCAGTGCAGAACCTGTTTAGGCTACAGAACTACTTCGTTGTGGTTTAGGGAAAGATTGTGGTTTGTGTTTAAATAAGTACGTTTGTTATGTAAATTGACTAAGTTTGTTTTATAACTTATGTAGGCGGCGTTAGTTACGTCTTTAAGTTGCTTAAAAAAAGTAGGGTAAAATAAGTCATCGTGGACTTGGTTTCACACGGGACACTATCAGCGGTCTCATTGGTGAACGTCCTGGGATTGTTTGACCTGCCCACCCCCCCCCCCCCAAAGAGTCGTCATGACATCTCTGACCAACTCTGATGATGGAGGACCATTATTTAAATAGAAAATAATGATAATTAAAAATAGAAAAGGTTTTCTCCATAAAATCATCTATTTCAACAATCAAATATTTTTTGAAAAAGATGAAATAGATTAGACATTGTGTAAGTGTAAATGTCCCTTACCTGTCCGTCAAAGGACCTGATGGTCCTGATCCCGCTCACAGAGCAGGAACCAGTGCTCTTGGGTGAACAGGAGGCCGCGCCCTCTTTCACAACACACATCTCATTGGGCGAGCAGAGGAATTCCTCATCACACTCTACATTTCCACCGTCTGAACACACGCAACGGGAGTCACATGACTCTCCCGAAAAGAACACCTGAGAAAAAGAGCAGAGAGCCGACCAGACATATCAGCGGTAGTAACAGTGGTGGCAGAAGGAGAAGTAACGGTGTTAAAAACAGAAGCTGTGGAGCTTCATTTGACACTGTTGCAGCTGTCGTACCTGTCCATTTCGATAATACTGTCCATCGAACTCACAGCCGCACTCTGCCAGAGGTACACACTTGTCGTGGCTCAGCAAGAATCCGTCGTCACACACGCAGCCTTCTATGCAGAGCGCGTTGTCTTCACAGTCCACTAGGGGTGTCGGGCCGCTGCAGGTCAGCTGGCAGGGGGGGGCACACATCTCGTAGTGACTGTTCGCGCCACACGATGGAGCTGGCAGAGAGACACACAAGTCAATCAGGGTGAAGTTGATGCGATTATGCTCACAAACATTACAAACATGCTTGGGACCTCATTGGGACTTTTGGATAACCACTCACTAACCGAGAACATTTCAGTGACATTTAGGGAAGTATGCTATGCTTGTTTGCCACCTCTCACAGAATCAGTTGAGAAGATCAACATCTGATTTATCTCTATAAGCCTGCATCCAGTCCAGACTGGAAGCACGACAGGGGGTGATATTTAGAGAAAACAACATTAAAGATTAAATAAAGATAAAAGATTGAAGATTAAAGTGGCAAACTTTCGTATCGCCTGCCACCGTCTAAAGAAAGTGTTATTATGGTTAGGAAGGACTCTGAGGGAGGCGAAGGTCCTGAAAGATACAGTACATCGGTATGAATTGTACTTAATCCTTATGTTAGAGCTAAGTTTTTATTTTAACAATGGATAATCGGATAAAAAAAGATAAAATAAAGAGTTCGTCCTCTCTGACTGATGTCCTCTGAACGAGGCGAAGGTCATATACATTGTCTTTCATGACCCTTTTTTACCTACAATGGCCCTAATACACTTATTTTTAGAAGGATTTGTCTTTATCAACATCAGTAGGGCCCAGAGACTGCAGGCAACACCCCAAAATTCCTGTCCTTATTGTGAGGTTGCCAGGTTAGTGCATAGTCTGAATTCCGAACAAGTTACTCTTGGATGGATGGATGGGCAGTGTAGTTCTGGATTTTCGCAGAGACTGTGGTTGAGTGTGTGCGTGACTTACGACAAAATTGTTCGGTTCTCCAGCTCCCCACTTTCGCTCCCGCATCCTGACAAGAGGTGCTGAAAGCTGATAGGCTGTTGCATAGGGCGGAGGCGTGGCCTCGGTACACGCACAAATCAAAAATACAGTCATTGAGGAAGGAGGAGTGGTCCAGTTTACTGTGACACTGTCTGTGTGGGCAGAGACAGAGAAGGGCACAGTCTGTATAGACACCATTTAATAAACAAAGAGATATACTGTACATTTTTAACAACCCTGGATTTTTCCCCACTAGACATTATCTAGTTTTTCTTTAACACTAAGCATAAGTATAAATTGTTTATTGCCTAGCTCAGCAGCAAGCAGTACCTACCCAAACGGTCCTTGTTTATCGGCGATGATGCCACAGTAGCTTGGCTTTTGGTAACGTAGTATCATCGCAGGCTCACACTCCGGACATTTACCACCTGGACAGTCACTAGTGCAGCCAAAGTCTCCTCCTGCCTGGTTCAAAAACATGCAAAAGTGTTATTCAGCTTGAAAAATGAATAAACTAATAACAACATGAAGATACTGTTTGATGTTTAAAGGATAGGCTCCCATTTTTCAAGTCTGTTTTGACAATGCCTGTACATGTGGCCAGATGTGTTTTCATGATGAGATGTCTTCCTTCTTTTATTAATTGGTAGGCTATTAAGCAAGAGGCGGTTAGATTACTGAGGAGTGACTTTGTTCTCCTTCCCAGCTGTCCACCAGATGTGCAGACACTATTGGATCTGCTGTATTGAGCTGGAGATGGAGCCGCACACACAATGTGTACAACTGTGCCTGCTTTCTGCTTCTAACTGTTTTCACCTGTGTGTGTTCTCCAGGTCGATTTTTCTCACAAAGATCCCCATTCTCACCTTCCAGCTGTCTCCGAAGGCGTTCACGTTGTCAGCCTGGGTGCCATCAGGTTTCATTAAGCCATCGGCAGGTTTTCCATTGTAATTTCCACACAAGCCTGATACAGAGAAACAAGCAACAACCACAGCAGTCACAGTTAGAGCATTTAGAATAGTTAAGAGTAGGAAGCTGTTAGAGCGGATAGGTATACTTTTATTTCCAACAATCACCACATAGCGGCCTGAGATGCACTGATGGAATACGCGTGTAAATGCCTTCAGTATTAGGCAGTATTTGGTATGTTGACACAGGCCCCTTCTTGATACAGGCCCCAGTGATTCAACTGCTGCCATAAACCGTATTTCTTGGGTAACTGTATGAATCGGCTCAATCGGAACGACATAGCCTTGTTTGCTTTATAACCAAAGTGCTGCCGTCACATGTTGAATCCTGAAACATATTTGAGTTAACCAAACAACCCCCCAACTCACCGCCTGTAGCAGAAGAGTATGTACTGGGTAGAGTCAAGCTGACGTGGCTCTTCCAGTTGAACATGAGTGTCAAACCAAAAGATGTCCTAACATAGCCGAAGTAGCCACGCCGGAACAAGGAGAGCTTGTTGTCTTCAGTGGAGTAAGGCAGGTTCACCGACCGACTGTTCACCTGAGGGCAGAGCATGGACACATGTACAGAATCACTGTGTACATATAATTATATATATATATATATATATATATAAATAAAAGATATATAAGCTATATAACGGCTTGTGTTTGTGTTGCGTGTGAAGGTGAATAAGAGCATTTGTTGTTTTTAAATGTGCTTCACTTTAGATAATATTTACAGCCCAGAAATAACTAGTTATTGATTAAGAACATGAAAATTGACATGCGCTGCGTCTGAAATTCCATATTAACATGCTGTTTTCTAATCTGTCCGAAATCTTAGCATAGAAGCCAATAGTATGTGAATTGCATACTACATCCAGTAAAATATTACAGAATGCCAACAATGGAAACTACACATATCCCACAATGCAATGCGGTAATGAAGAAAACGTTTGCAGCAGACGGTTGAGTGTAAGCATAAAATCTCCTTTTGCTAGGATTCATTTTAAATGAGTTCAGACCTCACAAACCATGGTTTGGTTACAGGAGGTTGGCATGGGCTAGAATTAGCAAAATCTTGAATTCATTTCAAATACTTTGTCTGGGCTGTCCCATACGACAGTGGTCTACTGTAACTACACTACAGAGCGATTGGTGAGGAGGACAAGGGTAAGTACTGTGGACAGACCAATCTTACCAGCATTTCTCCCACACTGGCACGACTCATGCTGACAGTGATGTTACCAAATACAATGAGAGAGACGGACTTGGTGTAGGCCACAGCCTTGTTGCGGCCTCGGTTCTCATTTTGGACCAGCACATGGAACGGCTCCAGGTCCTGCTCTGATCCCTTGGTGAGTTGAGACAGGGTGTAGGTGCAAGTGCCCTGGAAATCAAAGCGGCGTCCATCAAAGTTTCGGTAGTGGGGGTCTCCGGAGCCCTGGCATGTCGCATGGGATATTGGGTAGCAGTCCCGGACACCGCCCTTCAAGGCACAGTGCTCACTCTTCTTACAGGTGACTGGTTTGCACTTGAGCAGAATGAGATAACAGAATATCAGATCACAGTGAAAGAGATGAAAAACAAGAGTAATACTTGAGTAATACACACACACACACACACACACACACACACACACACACACACACACA